GTGCTCTCTCTCTCTCTCTCTCTCTCTCTCTCTCTCTCTCTCTGTGTCAAATAAATAAAATCTTAAAAAAAAAAAAAAGAATTTCAAGATTTTGCAGCACCTGGGTGGCTCAGTTGGTTAAGTGGCTTCCTTTGTCTCAGGTTATGATCTCAGGGTCCTGGGATGGAGCCACCCCATCAGCAGGGAGTCTGCTTCTTCCTCCCCTTTTGCCCCTCCCTCTACTTCTGTGCATGCTGGTGCATGAGCACATTCTCTCAAATAAATTCAATAAATAAATAAATAAATAAAATCTTTTAAAATAATAATTTTAAGATTTCCCACTTCTTTTTTTTAAAGTTATATACTCTAAAATAATTTTTCATTATCTTAAATTTACCACTCTACAGTATAAATGCTGATTGTCAATGGAACTGAGTTTGTTACCACGAACTATGTGATCTGGGGCAAATGACTTAACTTGTCTTAGTTTCAGTAAAATGTGCAAGCCTGCCTACCTCAGTCTATGAGTCTAACTTAACACCTGAGCTTTAAAACCTTATATACCTTACAGGACTTGAGTGTTTTTTAAAAAAAAATATTTAATTAGTTGCAATCTTTCAAAACTGGGAGATCCTACATTAAAAATCTAGACTTTTGACTCTTCTTTAAATACACAAAAATCAGATGATCTGGACAGGGTTTCTGCATTGGCAATGATCAGCTGGCGCTGAAGGTGGTTATCCTTTGGAAGCATGCATGCTCCAGGTTAATAGCTTATGTCCATCAACATCCAGTCAACAAACACTTGTTAAAATAATTTACCACACAGTTCTTTTAAACAGAGCTGAACAAAAACAAAAAGTCATGAAAATGTAGGTTTTTAATTTACCTAACAATTCAAGGTGGCAAATCACCTGTTAAGGACAGAGCAAAATGAGGAGAGCCAAATGACTTCATCAAGGTCATGCTGCCAGGCACAATAGCGGTACAGGGCCAGAGGTGAAAACACTTCACTACTACTATTCAGTAATCTTCAAAGATACAGGGTCTGCTTTGGCTGCTCGGTTGGCACTTTATCTACAAATGTCTTTAGTAGGGATCCAGCAGGCAATGAAAGTGTTTTAAAAATCTGTAAATCCATATGTTGGTTTGGAAAGCTGTTCTTGACAAGCACGGCGCCTCTCTGCAGTCCAAAGCATTCCAAAGTCAAGTGATTCTGGTATTTGCTTTAACCCTCACTTTTCTCTTCACTGGCAAGAAAAACTATGCTCTTTATTCAAGAGATAGTTGAGCACCTACAATGTTTTGAGTGCAGATTAGATTTCAAAATGTAGCATATTCTATTTTTAACGAAGAATTTTCAAAACAGGAATATGCTTCCATAGAAAACTACATGTTCTCACTTATATTCCATCATAGTTCCTAAACAAATGCCTCTTCTCTAAACCGTATTTATAACTGTCCCGTATTTGAACTACAGATAGCAAGCATCTCAGTAACACATATTATAGCAATCATACTTCTTTTGCTTTTTTTTTTAATAAGATTTTATTTATTTGACAAGGAGAGAGACAGCGAGAGCAGGAGAGGGAGAAGCAGGCTTCCCGCCAAGCAAGGAGCCTGATGTGGGGCTTGATTCCAGGACACTGGGACCGTAACCTGAGCTAAAGGCAGACGCTTAATGACTGAGCCACCCAGGTGCTCCTCACTTGTCTTTTAAAATTGAAGTTCTAGCAGTTTCTCCTACAAACTATGATACCTACAAAAAAAGCTAAGATCTCCATGAATAATAACTGGGAAAATATCTTGCAGCTACCTTTTGTTTTCTATCTACGACTGAACACTGGTAAACTCATTCATTTGAAATGTATAGTGCTTAAGAGACTAGTACTCTTAAATTAATAAGATTACCAAGAAAGGCTGTATTTAAGTGACCACATATGTATGCACCCCCACTGTCATATTTTGGAAGAGAGATCAGAGTTTCTTATATGATTCTATTAACTTCTAATTATTTTTAAATGGTAGAAAAAAGATTTTAACTTTTGTGTTCGATAAAGATATACTGCAATAAAACAAATTCAGTTTATTAAAAAATATATACACGCTTTAATACATTTTATCATTCTGACTATAACATGGTATAGTAGAAAGAAACAAATCTGGGCTTGAATCTCAGCTCCACTATGACTGGTACTGCCTTTAGCAAAAGACCTGTAGGTGCCTCAGTTTCCTCATATATAAAATGGCAATAAAAATGATTAATGAGCAGAGCTGTCGAAGAGATTAAAGGTAATATATATAAACCCCTAACCATCAACACATGGTAGATATTTTTTATTATAAATCCTGCATATTCAATAACACAAATCCTAAGTTTAGTATGTGTATTTCTGTGTAGTTCTGATTGGGTTTTTTTTTCCAAAGTCAAGGAATGGTAGAGTCCAGGATTCAAGGGACAAACCTAGATATAACCATAAAAGGAGGGGGAATGTTCTTACTAACATCAGATTCCACTGAAGAGTAAAAAAAGAATTTGCTTTCACCTTACATGAAGTCTACAAGTCCACTGAAATTGCAAACACAACATGGGAATCTTACCAGCTTTGTACCAATTGAACTGATGGAGTCCTGAGAAGGTTATCTGGAAGAAGACTTATTTCTTTCATTATATTTGCCAATCTAACAGGCAGCTCTTGCCGCAGAAACATAAATGAAGTCTTTTCACAAGCATTCATAGATCCTAAAACCAAACACAGTAGGAACAGCAGTAAGTAGAGGCCATAAGGCACAGAAGCCAAGAGGCAAGGAGAAACACAGTTACTGGGCAATGTCAGAGTGGCAGCATCACCATAACGAGAGGGAAAGGAAGAGGCGGCAAGGGACAAGATAACCCAGGGTTGTGAGGCATCCTAAATGACCTCCTAATTCCTGACATTGTTTTGTAGAGTGACGAAGATACTTTCCTGTCTCCATCACTTGCATCCTTACTGGGATCATCTTAGAACCAAGGGAACCTGAGCAAGTCTGAGCAAGGCGTGGAATCTAATTAAGAGTAGCACCTGCCAAAGCCTACCCTATGTAACCTGTTGCTGCTATTATTTTGAAAATCTGTTTCCTAACTCCAGTTTTATAAGAAATGAATACCTAAGATAAACAGAGAAATGTTATCATATGCTTGGGAACCATGAAAAGCAAGACTCAATGTAGAGGAGGGCTTTCAGGCAGCAGAAAGCAAAAAATACCAATGCCTGTTCAGCAACAATCTTCAAGTTTTGAATCCCTGCAGCACCTCTCCCCAACCACTCACTGCCCCCCGCCCCCAACCCGGTTTTATTCAATTGTGTGATTCCTGGACAGAAGCCTGCTCTTCTTCCACTCCCATCAAGATGCTAAGCAGAACAGTTGTAGAATAGCCTTTGGCAAGCAGTTCCATTTGAAGTTAAACTAACTTGTTATTTCAGCAATGTGTTTTTTTTTTTTTTTTTAAGATTTTATTTATTTATTTGACAGAGAGATCACAAGCAGGCAGAGAGAGAGGAGGAAGCAGGCTTCCCTAGAGAGCAGAGAGCCCGATGCGGGGCTCGATCCCAGGACTCTGAGATCACGACCTGAGCCGAAGGCAGCGGCCCAACTCACTGAGCCACCCAGGCGCCCCCAGCAACGTGTTTTAAACTCATGAATTTAATCTTGCTGTTTTAGCAAGAGGCAACCTTAGCAAAAACTAGATTGTCCATAGCAGGAATTGCCGAATAAAGGAAAGCATTTTCTTGTGAAAATTTAATAGGATACTGTGAACAAGACCAAACTCACCCCTTAATCACACTACAATCATTTTAAGGTAAAAGCAAAAAACCCAGGGCTTTGCCCCCCCCCCCAAATTGCCACTGTACACCACAGTTTTAAGATAAAGCTGCCCCCTATGCTGATATCTTTTGAGCCCACTAATGATCCCTTACTGACTTAACAGTCAGTACTCACAATGCAGAAGATAACTTTTTCTACTGAAATTTTACTTTATTGGCTTATTAGTTTTCCCTTCCCCCTCCAACCCCCCCATGAGAAGTCTAAGTTAAAAGCCTAACTTTGCAAATTTCTCTGCAATCTGTTGCATCCTTTCCAGAGAAAATCAAGAAGCGTCCACCAGAGGAAGAGCAAAGTGGATAGTCGCTTCTGCAAGGTGAAATGTGGCAATCCCCACAGCACTAGTGTTCACGCACTTTACACGGGCTCAAGACTGCTGATGATGAAATGAATGTGCTGTTGGTGGAAACGCTATTAGGCAAGCGGCAAGGAAAACATTCTATGAAACACTCAGGCCAGTCATAACTTGCTTCTCCATTCACCACGTCAATTTTATGCAATCATCATTGTACAAAGCTGAGCATTTATCATCACTGTGAAGAATCCGAACACGACTCCCGGAGGTGTGCACACACTTGCTTCTAGCCGGAGCTCGGCTCTTCGGAAGGGACCTGGCAGAGAGCGCGGTTCTGCACACGTGCGCTGAAAGGCGGGACGTCATTCCGCCCGCGGCCCTCCGGGTTTGTTTTTCAACAATACACAGTCAAAATGCACACGCCCCCAGTTATTTATCCCGCCCGCCGGCGCCAGCACCTGAGCTAGAGGATCTGTCCGCAAGGGGGGAAGGAAGCGTCTCAAGCGCTGGGAGAGAGACGTTACGGAGGAGGGGGTGCGCCGGAGGTGAGAGGGGGCAGGCGCTGGCCGGGCCCCGCCCGGGTCAGGGGCCGCATTTCCCCGCGCAGGGCCGCGCACAAAGGCCCGAGGCCCGAGCCCCACTCACCGAAGTCCAAGAACTGCTTCATGGAAAGCGGGGACGGCGAGAAGCGCGCGTAGAAGTCCACCTGGCCCGGAACGCCGCTCTCGGGCGCCGGCCCCGAGCCCGAATCCGAGCTGAGGCTGCGGCTGGCGCCGGTGGGGCCAGCTGCGCGCAGCCCGGAGCCCGGGCCGGCCAAGGCGGCTCCGCGTAGCAGCCGCGCCAGCCTCATGCCGAGGCCCGCCGGAGGAGCCGGAGCCGCGGCCGCCAGGTCGCCGCTCCGCCACTGGACCGGGCGGTACGTGAGGGACGTGGCGACCCTCAGGGGCGGGGAGCGGCTGTCACCGCCGCGGCCGCCGCCCCCCGCCGGAGCCCGGCCCCCTGCGCCGCTGGGCGGGACCCAGAGAGGGAGGCGGGGAGAGAGGCGGGACCGTGCGCGGGGTACGCCCATGGGCCGAAGTCCAGCCCCCGCGCGCCTGGGCGGGGCTGGTGAGCCAAGGGGCAGCTAGCGTGTGCGCAGCTCTGCGGGTGGGAAACCGCGGGCGCAGGAGCGGGCCGGGTCTCTGCAGTCCCCGACCCGCCCGGGGGCGCAGCTGGGAAGCGCGCAGGTGGCGGCGGCACCCGGGCTGCTAAGCCGGGCTCGCCCTATGGTGCGCCTCCTTCCCACGCTCTTTCGGAGCGAACCACACCTTCCTGCTCCCTGTACCCCCCCAGCCTCTGCCGAAAGCCTCAAGGACCCGGCCGCGCGCTCCGCTTTCCACAACGGTGTGCTGCTGCGAGTCCGAGTGCGAGCCAGAAACTCCACTGGGATGCAAGCCCCACGTTTCACAGGTAAAAAGAAGCCACGACCCAGAAAGCTTCAAGATCTGACCCTTGCCAAGCAGCGGTACAAAAATGCGAATGAAGCCTGGGGAACGTATCCCTAAATATTACCAGCGACTGCATGCAGACCCAGAAGATGATTGGCAACCCAACTTAAAGCTTCATGTGTAGGCCTTCTAGGCACGGTCAGCAACCACGATGAGGCGTCCCTCCCCTTGACTGACATTCTCTTAACGTCTTCTCAGCTTCACAGTTTGCCTGTTCCAGCTTTTCCTCTTCTCCAATTTCCTCAACTTATGATGGGGTTGGATATGGTAAGTTGAAAATGCATTTAATACACTTGTCCAGCATCATAGCTTAACCTAGCCGACCTTAAGCGTGCTCAAAACACTTCCGTTAGCCAACAGTTGGGCAAAATCCTCTAAATCAAAGCCTATTTTATAGTAACACTTTATTGAAGAACTGCCCCGAAAGTGAAAGGCGGAATGGCTGTACGTGGGTTGTTTACCCTGGGGATTGTAGGGCTGAGTTGGAGCTGCTGCTGCTGCTGCAAGCATCACGAAAGAATATGGTATCCCATTTCAGCTTGCTTGGGAAAAGATTAAAATTCAAGGTATGATTTCCACTGAATGGGTATCAGTTTCTCACCATTGTAAAGTGGAAAAATCGTAAGTTGAACTGTTGAAAATCGGGAACTGTCTGTAGTGAATCCAAGACTAGACAATTTCTCATATTGGTTTAACCCCATAGAGCTGCAAAGGCAGCAATCTATGCTGAAAATCCCCACAGCTGTCTCTTCTCTCCAGGGCTACTTCCCCATATATCCATCCCCAGGGCTTTGGTATGTCTTAACTTTTGAAAAATTACTTTTTCATGGGTAGTTTATCAATAAAACATGTATACATCTATATCTCCAGCAGTTACTGGTGTAGAATAACAATTCATTTCTCCATAGTGGTCAGGCTTGGGTTATATAAAGTATATGTATAAAGAATGAGATTACAGTCTCTTTTTAGGCTGTGTTAGTCCCACAAGGTTAGCTTGAAGAACAGTGCCCACCTGGAAACAGGTGTAGGTAGTTGAGGGAATGGGGTGGAAACAGCACCTGAACATAGTCTCTGAAAGCGGTGCCTCTAACAGTTTTTTCAGGTATCTATTAACATGGTTGTTGTTATGACTTTGGTGAAAATATCTTAGAGGAAGTAGTATGAACATAAGACGATGAGATATGTAGAAAAAGTAAGAGTGGTGGTATCTCTTTCATACCTTTCCTGTTCCACCAGAAATACTCTGTATCCTCCAAATTTGGCCTTGCTTCATCCATTCTGTGAATGCTTGTTGAATGCTTCCTGTAGGTACCAGGCAATGTTCTGGGTGGCTGGGAATAAAGCCACATGCAATTCAGATAGCATCCTATATTCAGATATGCCTGCTCTTAGAAAGCATATACTGTAGGGTCTGACGTGGTAGAAGAATTTTATACCACACCAGTATTAGAGCATCTCCTCCATGGAAGAAGGATTAGAGTTGTTTTGAGTGGCTGAAACAGCTGATGGGAGTCGTAGGGGTAGAAACCATAGGAAACAGATCTGACTCATGTATGGGAAAACTTTGGATGGTTTTCACTGTTTGACTACGAACTGGCAGCCTTAGAGTACCAGGGGGTTCTTGTCAGTTATTAGCATCTAGAGTGGCTTTGTAATAACACTGCAGGGAGGGTTACAGGAAAGCAGTATGGTGTAATGAAAAGAGCCTAGTGTCTGGTTTTTAATCCAGGCCCTGCCATATACTAGCTCTGTAGCCTTGAGGGAGTTACTTAAACTGTCTGAGCTTCAGCCTCCTTACCTATAAAGGGGGGAAATTACTGTCTCCTTCAGTGACTGTGATATGCATAGTGTAGCTGTCTGTGTTAGCACAAAGCCCAGGATGTACCAGACCCTCAGTAAATGGCATCTATTTTTTTAAATCATTGTTGCTGGTTTTTTGTTTTGTTTTTTAAGATTTTATTTATTTGACAGAGATCACAAATAGGCAGAGAGACAGGCGGGGGCGGTGGGGGGTAAGCAGGCTCTCTGCTGAGCAGAGAGCCCCATGCGGGGCTCGATCCCAGGACCCTGAGACCATGACCCGAGCCGAAGGCAGAGGCTTTAACCCGCTGAGCCACCAGGCACCCCATTGTTGCTGTTGTTATTATTATTATTTCCTGATTAGGATTTTATCCGAACAGCACATACTCATGTTTTGCCTAAAGCCAACTTTACCAAAGGTTTGGGATAAAACAATTAAAATTTAAATATTAGTCATCCTTAAAATATTGTCTCTCAACCATTTCTACAACTCTGCTCCAGCCTCTGTTTGGTTACCTTCCTTTTCCTTCCTTCTGTACCACTCCCTGAACTCCAAAATCTTAACTAGTACCCACAGTATTATTCAGCTCCCTTGACCCCTGTTTGCAACTCTGCTGCTTTCGCCCTGAGCATGTCAAGGTGTTCAGCTGAACAGTAACTTCTGTAGAAGCACAAAGGCCCAGCAAAATCTTGAGGTTTATTTTAGCAACTTCATTCTCCCAGAAACCAATCCAACTGTGTAGTTTTTTTCTTTAAAGATTTTATTTGTTTGTTTGTTTGTTAGTTTGAAGGAGAGAGTGAAAATGAGCGGGTGGGAGGGTGGACAGGGGAAGCACAGGGAGAGGGACAAGCAGACTAGGCCCTGAGCCCGAGCCTGATGCGGGGCTAGATCTCACCACCCTGAGATCATGACCTAAGCGGAAACCAAGGGCTGGACGCCACTACCCCCCCCATTCAACTGTTTAATGAAATGGTTTTTTTTTTCTTTTTTCCAAAGTGATGTAGAAAAGAAGTTAGGGTTCAAAGCTGATGGGCAAGAAAGAATTCTTGAGATGCCTTTGGTGCAAAAAGGTGGTTTTATTAAAGCACAGACAAGACCCCTGGGGCAGAAAGAACTGCCCTGGGGTCATAAGGGATGGATGGTCCGTGGTATACTTTGAAGTTGGGAAGGGGTTAGGAATAGTGTAAGCCTCACAGGTATTTTGGAAATAGGGTTCCCAGGATACTGAGGAGGCTTGGTATTGTTAGGAAAGGTCATTTATTACTGTTTAGTAGAAACTTAGTCATGAGACCCTTCAGATGTATATTGGTGGGTCATATGCTTGGGGGATGATTGCCAACATGTATCTTGGCCAGGGTAGAGATAAAGTAAGCTTCCAAAGGAATTTTTTTTATGTTAAAGTAGACTTACAGGGTCCTGGGGGTTGTGTTAAGATTGACTTTTGCCCTTAGCAAAGCATTAACATCGAAGCAGTGGAGTACCTAGAGGAATGTCACTCTGCCCATCTCAAGGACCTGGCAATGGGCTGCAGGTAGCAAGGACATTCAATAATTTTTCTTCTGCCTTTATTTCCCACATCAGAAGTACATTCACCGAACTTCCAATATCCAGAGACTGAGTATATGAAAACACATAAAAAATGGTATCAACATTTTGCTTTTTGGTCAAAGACTTAGTGTCCAGAAGCTGAGGAGAACATTAGATTTTTTTTCAGGTATTTGTTAACATGATGGTTTTTAAGACTATGGTAAAAATATCTTAGAGTAAGCAGTTGTAGGGAAGGAAAAAAAAATGTCCTTCCTTGTCAGGTTTTTCCAGCTGCTTTAAGGATTCAATTGACACGAGACAGATTAATAGGAGAAAAACCCAAGATTTATTATGTGTACTTGGAGACCCAATAATGAAATTGACATTCAAAGAAATGACCATGGCAGGCAGAGTTCATACATTTTAGACAAAGAGACAATAAATTTGAAGTATTGACAGCATAAAGAAAACAGATGTTTGGGAGCTTTTGTTAGTAAGGAATTCTAAGATTTGGACTGAGGTTGTAGATTAGTAAAAAGGAACAAGGTTTGTTTGTACAGCTTTAAAGTCTCTGGGGGTAGGGATATCTTTTTACTTCTTTTTTTTTTTAATTTTTATTTTTTTTTTAAATTTTATTTTTTATAAACATATATTTTTATCCCCAGGGGTACAGGTCTGTGAATCGCCAGGTTTACACACTTCACAGCACTCATCATAGCACATACCCTCCCCAATGTCCATAATCCCACCCCCCCAACCCCCCTCCCCCCATTAACCCTCAGTTTGTTTTGTGAGATTAAGTGTCACTTATGGTTTGTCTCCCTCCCAATCCCATATTGTTTCATTTACTCTTCTCCTACCCCCTTAACCCCCCATGTTGCATCTCCTCTCCCTCATATCAGGGAGATCATATGATAGTTGTCTTTCTCCGATTGACTTATTTCGCTAAGCATGATACCCTCTAGTTCCATCCACGTCGTCGCAAATGGCAAGATTTCATTTCTTTTGATGGCTGCATAGTATTCCATTGTGTATATATACCACATCTTCTTTATCCATTCGTCTGTTGATGGACATCTAGGTTCTTTCCATAGTTTGGCTATTGTAGACATTGCTGCTATAAACATTCGGGTGCACGTGCCCCTTCGGATCACTACGTTTGTATCTTTAGGGTAAATACCCAGCAGTGCAATTGCTGGGTCATAGGGTAGTTCTATTTTCAACATTTTGAGGAACCTCCATGCTGTTTTCCAGAGTGGTTGCACCAGCTTGCATTCCCACCAACAGTGTAGGAGGGTTCCCCTTTCTCCGCATCCTCGCCAGCATCTGTCATTTCCTGACTTGCTAATTTTAGCCATTCTGACTGGTGTGAGGTGGTATCTCATTGTGGTTTTGATTTGTATTTCCCTGATGCCGAGTGATGTGGAGCACTTTTTCATGTGTCTGTTGGCCATCTGGATGTCTTCTTTGCAGAAATGTCTGTTCATGTCCTCTGCCCATTTCTTGATTGGATTATTTGTTCTTTGGGTGTTGAGTTTGCTAAGTTCTTTATAGATTTTGGACACTAGCCCTTTATCTGATATGTCATTTGCAAATATCTTCTCCCATTCTGTCAGTTGTCTTTTGGTTTTGTTAACTGTTTCCTTTGCTGTGCAAAAGCTTTTGATCTTGATGAAATCCCAATAGTTCATTTTTGCCCTTGCTTCCCTTGCCTTTGGCGATGTTCCTAGGAAGATGTTGCTGCGGCTGAGGTCGAAGAGGTTGCTGCCTGTGTTCTCCTCAAGGATTTTGATGGATTCCTTTCTCACATTGAGATCCTTCATCCATTTTGAGTCTATTTTCGTGTGTGGTGTAAGGAAATGATCCAATTTCATTTTTCTGCATGTGGCTGTCCAATTTTCCCAACACCATTTGTTGAAGAGGCTGTCTTTTTTCCATT